GTATATATATATGTGTATATATATATGTATATATATATATGTATATATATATGTGTATATATATATGTATATATATATATATGTATATATATATATATAATATATATAAAGGCTTATATATATTATTATATACAGTATATTGCAATGGTTTAACATTTTAAAAAAACAACGTTTTTAATCACTCCCACGTTTATATTACAAACGATCGTGCGCCGCTCGGACAGCGTGTGCTGACCTCAGTGTGTGTGTGTGTGTGTTATATTTGCTGAAGAGAATTCTTACCACAAGTAACCACCACGATATGCTGTTTTGTTGTGCGTTTGTATTAACTTGGTACTGCGTGTTGTTGTGTTTGTGTGTCAGGAGTGTGCCGGCGAGCCTCTCTTCATGCTCTACTGCGCCATCAAGCAACAGATGGAGAAAGGACCCATCGACGCCATCACAGGAGAAGCTCGCTACTCACTGAGCGAAGACAAACTCATCAGGCAGCAGATTGACTACAAACAGCTGGTGAACGCACATTAACAGAGCTCCACTGTTGAATGGAGAAGTACACCTCCAACAAAAAAAAAAAAAAAAATCACATCAACTTTTACGATACAAATCCTCACCTCTATCTCTTAACCACTTTAGTCTGGGATTCATTTGATTGATTTTTATATAATAATATTATTCATCACTTTTTTTTTCTGCCTCCTTAGACGCTGATGTGCATCCCTCCGGAGGGCGAGGCAGGGACGGAGGTTCCGGTGAAGGTGTTGAACTGTGACACAGTGACCCAGGTCAAAGACAAACTGCTGGACGCTGTTTACAAAGGAATCCCGTTTTCGCAGCGCCCCCAGGCCGATGACATGGACCTGGGTAACTGTCGCATACGAGCTGAGTGATTTGTCGGCGTCCAAAAAAACATACAACATACGAGTCACCCTCACCGGCTCTGCGTTTCTGTCATTTTTGTGTTGTCAGAGTGGCGTCAGGGGCGTCTGACCCGCATCATTCTGCAGGATGAAGACGTGACCACGAAGATCGAGAGTGACTGGAAGAGACTCAACACACTAGCGCATTATCAGGTAAACCAGGGGTGTCAAACTCATTACCACCAGGGGGCCACATCATCAATACATTTCCATTTGAAGGGCCGGTTGTAAATGGAAGACTGTATAGATCGGGGGTCCTCAATTTCTGGTCCGCGGACCAGTACCTGTCCAGAGATCATTTGGTACCGGGCCGCAGTGGGACACAATTCTTTACTGATTTACTTCATTCAAAGAAAATCCAATCATATCCATTTCCTTTTTTTATTTAATAAAGATAATCTGACAATATTTTAAAAATAAAAGGTCATTCAGACTCGGATACAAACAGAACAGAGTCCAAAAGATGTTTTATTTTGAAACTTTAATGATTCTTCAATGCCCAGTACCTTATTAGTGGTAACAGGTGGTACTAGCTGACCAGTCCTTGGAACCAAAAAAAATTAGGGACTGCTGGTATAGAAGTAACTACTCCATAACAGACTGATACATGTTTCTGCAATTGATTATTATTTGGTTGATTATAAAAACTCCCGCGGGCCACACAAAATGGCTTGGCGGGGCGCATTTGGGCCCCCGGCCCTGGGGTTGGCTTCATCTGCTTTTACTACAGTTTCCCGCTTCTCTCTAGTAAAACCAATCAGATTTTTTTTTTTTTTTGTTGTTCAAATGTTCTAATGAACAACAAACCGCTGACTGTTTTGTCCTGTGATCTCGTCTTTCCAGGTCACAGATGGTTCTCTGGTGGCTCTGGTCCAGAAACAGGTCTCGGCGTACAACATTGCCAACTCCTTCACTTTCACCAGATCACTGAGCAGATATGGTATAAAGCACACACACACAAACACACAAACGCACACACGTAGGCATGTAGTAACAGATCATACCTCCGTCCTCACTCCGTTTTCAGAGTCCTTACTCAGAACTTCCAGCAGTCCTGACAGTCTGAGGTCCAGAGCACCAATGATCACACCAGACCAGGAAACAGGTACTGCAGGATGTGTTGTGTTACGTAAGCCGTTTACACAGTATACTTTATATAGCGATGTCGTTCTGTCATGTTTGTACTCTAAGTGCGTAAAAGCTTTCCAACTTTGGGAATTGAAACACACTTCCAACTACTACTGATTTCCCCGTTTACAGGAACCAAACTGTGGCATCTGGTGAAGAACCACGAGCACAGTGACCAGAGAGAAGGAGACCGAGGCAGCAAGATGGTTTCTGAGATCTACCTGACCAGACTGCTGGCCACAAAGGTAAGTGATGCGCTGCGATCCACGAAAGCAATGAATGATTTTTACAAAAAAAGACCAAAAATGGCCTTATTTTAATCATGTATTTCTCCACAGGGGACACTGCAGAAGTTCGTGGACGATCTGTTTGAGACGGTCTTTAGCACCGCCCACCGCGGCTCCGCTCTGCCTTTAGCCATTAAGTATATGTTTGACTTTCTGGATGAGCAGGCTGACAAACGTCAGATTAGCGACCCAGATGTTAGACACACCTGGAAGAGCAACTGGTGAGAAAATGGTCAATAGACACGAAGACCGAGGGGAAAAACTAAGAAACTAAGGTTTACATTATTATTTTTTTCCCCCCTTCTCAGTCTTCCTCTCAGGTTCTGGGTCAATGTCATCAAAAACCCTCAGTTTGTGTTCGACATTCACAAGAGCAGCATCACCGACGCCTGTCTGTCCGTAGTCGCTCAGACCTTCATGGACTCCTGCTCCACGTCTGAACACAGACTCGGCAAAGACTCACCATCCAACAAGTTGCTCTATGCTAAAGACATCCCTAACTACAAGAGCTGGGTAGAAAGGTAGCGTACATGCTAAATATGTTAATATTAATGATTAACCCTAACCCTAGGGTCCGATATGAACTTTTTGCCGATATTGTCCGAACACCGATATCGACCGATAAGGTGATGGTTTAGAGCGTTGTGGTAATATTTATTTGTTCATCTGAGTTGCTGATGTCACAATTCTGCACACGATCCCCTAATTAACAAAATAGACTAATAAAATGAGCTGCAATGCTGCCCTCTAGTGGCTTTCCTTTTCTACATACAGCCCCTTTTTTTTCCCCCCCAAAACTACACGCATCATTTGGCGAAACCCCAGGCGTTGTGTATTTAGTTGATACACGCGTTTACGCTGTCGCTAACACAATCGTACACAGTTGTATTTAATACGTCAAGACCTAAACACTTAGAGCCGACGTGTGTCTCTGTGCGTCGCAGGTACTACAGAGACATTTCCAAGATGCCCAGCATCAGTGATCAGGACATGGATGCGTATCTGGTGGAGCAGTCTCGTCTTCATGGAAACGAGTTCAACACACTAAGTGCACTCAGTGAGCTGTACTTCTACATCAACAAGTACAAGGAGGAGGTGAGTTTTGCATTGCACAATGTTCATGTTCATCCTGACGCTCGACACTGTACAGAGCCGCCAAGGCATGTGTCAAACTCAAAGTTTTTTTTTTCCTTTTACACAGAGCAATTTACAATACTTGTAACTTGAAGAGATAATAATCAACTGCAGAAACGTGTAGTGTGAAAACAGTGAACACGTAAAATGTGCAGTGGCACAGGAGTAGCAGATCCCGGTGCACGAGCCTAGAGTGCCCTCTAGCGGTAGTCAGTGGGGAAAATAACAAACGTGAAATTTTATGTTTTAATATACGTATAAATCGCACCTGAGTATAAGTCGCGAACGCAGCCAAAAGATGAAAAAAACGTGCGACTTATAATCCGGAAGATACATGTCAATTTTTTTTTCCCAGTTAACTCAAATTGCTTTTGTCTGAAACAGATTTTGACGGCGTTGGACCGAGACGGTTACTGTCGAAAACACAAACTGAGGCACAAACTGGAGCAAGCGATCAATCTGATGAGTGGGAGCAGCTGAGAGGAGAAGTGGAAGGAGGAAGAGGAGGAGTGATGGACGGATGGCTCGCTCGATGGACTGATGGATCAATGAACTGTGGATTAATAAACTGGTGGAACTCGGTTGGAACTGGAGAGGAAGAGGATTTTAGGGCGTCAAATGCCCAGGGCATTTTTTTTGCTTTTCTGAACTGTTTGAACAGTCAGCTGATCAGCTCTGTGTTGTACCCATACCCAGGTCCTTTAACGGTCGACTCACTGGCCTGCGGGGACACCAAACTACCTCCCTGTCTTTGATTGCGGGCGGGGGGGAGGAACTGTATGGTTTGGATGTGTTTACCTAATGACTTTATTTTGAGTCATTTTGTTTGAGGGAAAAACAAACCCTGCGGTTCTTGATTTGTGAGCAAGGATCAGAACCAGGAGGAGATGTGGCTGTGGACGAGCTAGATGAAGACTAAATCAGAGTTCAACATCAGGAAGATCTCCACCCGATGTGGGACCTTCTAGAAGCCTGGCTAAAGGATGAGTCAGCCATTCTGTCAAAGCTTCAGTCCTTTATTGCTTTGGTCCCTTTATTATTTAAAAAAAAAAAAAGATCAATAACCCTCAACAAAATTGCTTCATATCTTGGGCTAAAACGGAAATCGAATTGAGTCTCAAAGGCTTTAAAGTTGAGGTAAAAGCAAAAAAAATACCAGATCTAGTACTGGTTTTTCCTCATGTTGGACTCTTATATTAGCCTCTGAAACAATGAGGGTCCAGTGTCTGAAGATTGATTTTTTTTTTTTTTTTTTTTTTTTTTTGGTTTTATCATTACTGATAAAACCAGAAAGAAATCAAGTAACAATCTTTTCAGAAACTGGGCTCTCACATCTGTATCTCGATGTCTGAAGATAAGGAAGCATTTAGAAAACGGCCGCCTCCACCATCTCTTCAGGAGTTGAAAGATTCTATGAATTGCTCTTTCCAAAAAAAAAACAAACAAAAAAAAGAACCTCTCGATGTGATCACCTCTGGACAATCATCCGAACCACAGCACACTGAGCCCGATGCCTACAGACCGACCAGAACCTGTGTCCATGACTGTTCTCAATTACGTTTCTCTCCTTCATTCCTTTTCATTCTCTGACAACCTTGTGCCATCACGATCAGTGCCGATGCTCTCTGTTCCCATTGGCCGGGAAGTCTCCCCTCAATGTTCTCCCCAACCAAGCGAGACTGTGGAATCTGACCTCAATTGTGATCAGACACAGAACCGTTTTTTGAATACATTCCAACAAAGACACCGAGGACAGGTCTGTACATACACAAGTGGACTTGGGACCCTGTTGTTTGTTTTTGTTTTTTTTTTTTCAGAACCGGACTCTCTTAGAACCCATGGTTTTTGGACTCCCATCCAGTTCGGAGAACAATATAATTTTACCTACATAGAGCCATGATGTACAGCGCCTACTAACTGTGCCCAGGTGGGGGGAAAAAAAAAAAAACTTTGTGGAGGGCTAAGAGCTTAGTGCCATGTGAAGACCTGGCCCGGACCGCATCACACCTGTTCCGGACCAAACTCGGACCAAACAACTCAGAAAAGTTTTATCTGGACCAGACTAAAGAAATCTTTTAAGACTTGTGGTCATAATGTAAACAACAAAGAAAATAATAATAATAATATGAATAATAATAATAATAGTGATGACGACGACGGCGACGATGGTGATGAAAAGTTTAAAAGAAAACATATAAAAAGTTGACCAGTTGATCAGATCTTCGTGGACACGACCACTTGGGTTGACTGAATTTGAACTTGTAAAAACTTAACCTTGTGCTACACCGGCGAGAGAGAGACAGAGGGAGAGAGAGAGAGAGAGAGAGAGAGAGAACCTGAAGACGGAGCAACAGAACCAGGACTGAACCTAACAATCCGGGACGGACTCTCTTGAGCAGAACCTTAAGAATCAGATTCTTCTGGACTTTGTCGAATCGGTTCATATAGTGAAGCAACTGATCTCATATCCGTCTCTCTTTTTTTTTTTTTTTTTTTTTTGGTACTGTTTTGTTTTCTTTTCTGCAGTCTGGGTTCCAGGTGCTAAACGTTTGCTGCGGATGGAAACTTTGCTCTGATGAACTGGAGGTCAGGAGGCTGTTTTGTCTCTGTCCACACACTCTTTTCACACCACGAAACATGGTGTAGAAAAATACACAGAGTTTCCTGAGTTTACATTGCCTTTAGCTGAATTCAAGTCTGAATTTGATAACGACGCTGAATTAAGACCGAATGTGGGTCAGAAATAACAAGATGCTCTCCAAACCAAAATTGATCTTAATCTGGATCTAAATTGAATCTGCGTCTGGATTTAGGCTGTTTTAAAAAAAAACAGTTTTTGGTTTTCAAAGTCTGCATACGAGAGTCTGTTTTAAAAACTCCTTAGTTTAGGTCTGATTAAATGCCTTTGAATCTCAATCAAGGATGTTGGCGTGAACGCGTTGCGTCTCCGATTCAGCTCTGTGTCTCTGGCTCTGTTCGGTGTAAAAAAGAGCACTTTTTTTTTTTTTTTTCGGCTCTGTGTCTCTGGCTCTGTTCGGTAAAAAATAGAGCACTTTTTTTTTCTCTTGTTTTGCTGTCGTTTCAATCTGTTTTCTGGTGTTAAAAAGGACTGACTGACGCGAAGGAGCAAGGGCAGGGAACAACGGAGGATAAAAAGAAGTATCGAGGTTCAATTAATTAAAGACTGCTTTTGATAATTTATTATAGACGTATAGAAGAGAGGCCACTACATAATAATACCACTGTGTGTGTATGTGCGTGTGCGTGTGTGTGTGTCTGTCTGTGTCTGTGTGCTTGACTGGATTGCTCATTGATCTTTCTAAATAATTTAAACATCAGTGAAAGCAAACTCTTTTTTTTTGCTTGTTTGTTTTTGTTGTTTTTTGTTTTCAAATGAGCCTTTTTTTAATTGAGGAAGCAAGCGGGAGGGAATCATTGATGCTGCTGCTGCTGCTGCTGTTTAAGGCAGGATTAAAAAAGGTCAGATTTCCTGTGCAGTGTGAGAAGGAAGGGCGGAGAAAAAGAGGGGCAAAGGTAGAGGGAGACACCGGTAGAATACTGAAAACATGATGGAGGGAGTGGACAGAGAGAATACTGATGAGAGAGGAAAACGTTATCCATCACGGCAACTGAAACGGGGCGGGGGAGAAAAAAAAAATACAGCAAAGTAAAGAGGAGGAATAGCCAGGAGGAGAAGGACGAGGAGGCCGATTGAAGATCTCCAGTAGAACTCTGTCCTGAATTCCAGAGGTTAGGTCTTTTTTCCCCGCTGCACTAACTTTTACACGTCGCTCTGATCCTCGACAGTCTGTCACAGCGGACCTCATCGTGGACATCCCTCACACTCTCTCCATTTTGTTTTTAACACGAGCGTGCACAAGCTCATGAAAAAGATGGGATGTCATTCACTCCGTGAGGGTCCGACGTGGACAGTTGTGTCCATCCAGTATCTGCAGACCGACACGCAGAAACAAAGCCTCAGGCTGTGTAAAGGGAGCCGCAAGTTAGCACACACACGCAAACACACACACACCTGTGATTAGGAAACCAACTGCAGAGTTTGGTTTTTGACGGTCTGGTCTAATTCCTGTCCAAGCAGGAAAGAGAGAATTGACAGGAACTAAACGGATTCCTTTTCGTTTTAGCCGCAGCTTCTAATCTGCTGTTGTAGCCCCACTCCCCCTCACGTGTGCTTACACACACACACACACACACATGCACAATTTTTTTTTTATTTTCATGTTGGACATATTTATTAATTTTTTTTTTTTTTGGATTTTTGCTTTTAATTTATTTTTCATGACTTTATTTATTGTATGATGATGTGCGCCATGTGATGAGCTTGTACAGACACACTCAAATACACACGCGCAAAAGTTAACAAATGACCATGAAAAATTACAACAAATTCACTTTTTTTTTTTTTTTTAAAGTCTTTTTGCCTTGTGATTTGCCAACACTCTCATGTTGATATTTGTTCAGAAAAGTATTGGCCCGAATCTGCATTTACCAGGATGTAATCAGGGCTCATTGTTTATTATTTTAATTTTTTTTTTTTTCAAATGCCATTCACCATTGCCTTGTTTTTTTTTTGTTTGTTTGTTTTTTTTGTAGTTTTGCTTACGTTACAAAGTGACATTGACGATAACGATGATGTATTAGCTTGTGTCTGTTTTTATACCATTGCCATTGCCGCCTTCTGCTGAGTTTGTAAATTTGTGTGATTTCACTAAAGCGTAATGGAAACAACGCAGATGTCCTCGTGTCTTCTTGTGTTAATGGAATCAACACTAACACCGCGCCAAAAAAAAAAAAAATGTGACAAATACATTGAAATGCAGTGGGGGGGCTTTGAGATACAAGCTAGCTAGATAGCACTTTATTAATCCCTCGGGAGTTCCCTTCAGGAAATTTAGGCTCCAGCAGCAGTACAGCACCAAAACAACAGTAAAAAGTCACAAATAGGTAAATAATTTAAATAGGTAAAAACAGGAGTAGCAGCACACTGTCAGTGCATTTTGGAAACCTGAACAGTGGATGCGACTAATACTCCAGAAAATACAGTCTATTTAATAATGTTGTTGTTGTTGTTAATACCATAGCTAGCTACCGGTACTACTACTCTATTCTAGTTGCTATTGCCAAAATGTTGTTGGTTTTTGATGATGATGTTATTGTTATTGTCAGTTATTAATTTCATAATCATAGTTAATAATTGGTTGCCTCAGATAATGTCAACACCGTCTTTGTCCTACCAGTTCCAGTCCCCGCACCCCCCCAGGATGACTGCGGACAATAAGAGCAAGACAAAATAAATAACAAAATGGTTTATTCACTCATACCATTTGCCACCCTGCCCATCATTTCCGGACATAAACGGTTATTTAAAAAAAAAAAAAAAAAAAAAAAAGAAACCGTCACGTGATAGGTCAAAGTCTCCTGTGACATCACAGATCAGGCTGTTTGGTCTTTGAAAGAACTGTGGTTTTAAACATCAGAGCTATAGAATGTATTAGGTACTCTGTGTGTATTTCTACGTGTGTGTGTGTGTGTGTGTGTGTGTGTGTGTGCTTGGCTAGCTTCCAGAGCGACTCATCTCTGTGAGTGCTACAGTTAACCCTTGCTGATCTTCAACAACTCACCCACAGAGTCTGAGAGCATCGTCTCCTCCTCCTCCTCCTCCTGGCTGTTGTCCGTCTGCTGCTGCCTTTCTACTATAGCTCATTCATTCTGACAGGCAGCACCAGGAGGCAGGCTTCAGGTCAAATACAGCTGTCAAGAAAGGCTGTCAAAACTTGTGAACTAATGAGTCACGCTCTGCAATTTGCCAATTGGCTGATGAGAGTGTTCTGAGTAATAGCAGGTGGGAGTCAATATGTCGGGGGGGAGTGGAGGGAGAAAAGAAAAATAGTTTCTTTTTGTCTTGGATCTGTATCATAAACATGATTCATTGTAAAGGAAACAGTTCCATAAATAAAATTAATTTAATTAATATTTTCAAGACACAAATAGCGAGGGCTTTCATTGATGTATTCAAAAATCAATTCCCAGTGAGGAACATTCGTGTGAACTATCTGCTCCTGACCCGGCCCCCCTGTTCAGTTTTAGGACAATTGTGGCCCGCCAGTCAAAAGGTTTGCCCATGCCTGGTCTAGATGATGCCATAAAAAAAATGGCACGTTTTAACTGAGCCTGTAAAAACAACCTGAGAGTTCTGTTTTAAAAACTGCTGAAAAATAAAAAATAAAATAAAATAAAAATGTACTTGAGACCTGAAAGTTTTTCAAAATTAATTAATTAAATAACATCATCATTTTTGCTCTCTCTTTTTGCAACTACTAGGCTAACCTGGCATTATTGTTTGCTATTTTTAGCATGATGAGTCAGCGTCTTCGAACGCCTCCAGAATTAGCTTATCAGTGAACACGGTGGTTCGTATCAATTTCTTATCAATCTTTCAATCTAAACAGATGGGGCTGGGGGTTTAATTACTCTCCATTTCCTACTGTTGAGCAGTATAATAGTTCTTTAATTTTTTTTTTAATCATGATTAAAATCAGACAAGATTGAAATAGAAAATGATTTTTTGTCATATTATGTTTTGTGTGCTTTGAGAAGAATGGTCCCTGGACGCTTAAGGCTGCCCACTGTTCACTTTGGTGATGGGTTAAAAGCAGAGGTCACATTTTGTTTTAGTCTATTCATGGCTTAGTATCATATATCTTATATTTTTCCATTGTTTAATAAATATTATTTAATCAAATATTTGGTCTGACCTTGATCTGTCCGAACAGCCGAGCAGCTTTTTGCATAATTTATGGTTGGTTATGTGATGGTTACATTATGCAGTGAGTGGTGTTTAATGGATGATGATGATGATGAGGTGAGTTTTTGTAATTATTTGCTCAAATCCTACATTTGTTCTTTATTTCACACAGCCATAAAAACAGCAGCAGCTACAGACAAAAAAAAAAGAACACATTTTTACAACATGTGAAGCATTCATTCATCTAACCAAATACCTGCTCTCGACATCCGACACTACTACAGTAGTACTTCTACTACCGCTCCTAGGCAAGTCAAGTCAATTTTATTTGTATAGCCCAGATTCACACATCTCATTTGTTTCATCGTACTTCACAATTTTAAATAGAAATTGGAATTGGAATTTAAATTGGGAATTAAAATATCCTCCTAAAAACCATTTAACAGAGGGAAAATGAAGGTCTATACAGTCAACGTCTATACTGAGTTTAAATAGCAATACAATATTTTTTTTAGAGCCACGGAAACTACTACTACTACTAATACTAATATAAGTACTACTGGTCCTTATATAAACATTTCCTTGGATAATATATGTATTTATTTTTTTAAAATAATAAATCTTCTGATTCACTTCTAATTTCATGGTTTTATACATGCTATTTTGTTGGTATTTCAGTTTTTTTTTATAATAAATATATGTTATTCTATTATTTGATTTTTGGGGGGGGGGGTTTTGGGGGGGGTTACGGTTTTGCTTTTTTGTATCGCAGAAAGTGCAGTTTTATTTTATTTGAAAAATGGTTTACATTCATAACGTGACATGACGTGCCTTTACGTCACAGCGCGTGTCCAATCACGTCTGATAGCCAGTATGATGTGGCAGTAAATACCGGAACTCGTCTTGTTTATAACCGATAGCGTTTAGTTAACTGTTTTATTTAGACCAACGTCGTCCACAAAGCGTCTTGTTTAATTGCATTGTTTTCTACACTGAATCTTTGGCGTAGGGTGAGTTCATCCGTGTTGTCACTGACTGAGTTGCTCTTTTCTCACTTGAGAAATAAACGAGTAGCCAAGCGATGCTAACTAGCTGCTAACAGCCTCTGAGCATTGTGTTAGCGTCTCCAAATGGTTTGGGTTCGTTTTGAGATTTAAGGAAAACGTAGTTTATACAAATCTGTTTTATACTCTAAAAATGTTTTATATCCTAAAAAAATGTTTGTTTCCATATCAGAGACAAAGCCACTTAAACGTCATGACAGTTCAGGTTATAGACTGCACCGGAAACCATCCCTCCTGCTTTTGTGTAAAGCTGAGTAATCATAGATAATACTTCCACTCCTACTGACTTTCATAATAGTTTCTCTTAAAGGTTTAAGTCGGTTAACCTTGAAATAAATGACTTATGATGGAAACTTAGTTTAGTTTATCACAGAAACAAGGATTTTGTCTGTATATCCGTAGTGAGTAAGGTCTGTCTTACTAAAGCAAATCGAAAACGCAGGCACGTTTGCACCATATGAGATGGCGTTTTTAACATTACAAATTAAACGAGCTTATGCACAGTAGTTTCTAATGTCCCTTTTATGGGTAAATTTGGTAAGAGTTTTATAAAATAGGCCACATTTTTTTTGAAATTCGGAGGACACAGACATTTTCAGAAAGGTGTCATTAGTAAAACAAAAAATTAAATATATATATATGTGACTGGTCTATAATTTGGTTTAAGCTGCCATACAAAGAACCAGCAATAGCAAACAAAGTAATTAATTGCTACAGTCAAATTGATTCTTCTTCAAAGCCTTTAATGGAAAACCTGAAATGAAAACTATGACAAACTATAATATTAATTCCAAGGATGGAAAAACTACAATCTTATTTTAAGAAACATCTAATTCTACTCCTGCCTTACAGGCCAAGGCATACTAATGTCCACTTAATTCTCTAATTTGGGAAAATAATTCTTAATTAAATATTATCCAGTTTTTTTTTTATTATACTTGATGACTATGCAGGTAAGATGTGTGATGTACTGTGGCAATTTTCCAATCTGCTGTCATTAAAAAAAGCTATTAAAGAACCAATTTCTGCTTCACCCGTGTTTAACAGTAAAATAAGAAAGATTAGGGCGGGAAAAAAAGCATCAAACTGTGATAACCACTTGATTCACAATTAAAGAAATGCAAAAATTTTTTAGAAAAACATAAAAAAAATAGCTTAAAAATGTTTAAAAAATGCCAAATATGGATATGTTTGTTGCAGTGGTAGTAATATTTGTGGTAGTTTGTATGTTACAGGAAATAGTCTGATCCAATGTCTCTATCACCAGACGCAGACAGCACAAGTGGGAAAGGTGTGTCTGTTTGTTCGGTCTGGATCTCATTTGAAAAATATGCAGATCAACACATTCATACAAATTTAGTCCTGAAAAAGATGTTTGTACAGAGCTGTGGAGTTTTCCATTTTATTAAGAAATATTAAATTGTTTCTTTTTTTTTTTTTTTTTTTTTTTTTTTTTTTTTTTTTTGCTTTTATTCTACAAACAATTTCACACAGTTGGTTGCTTTGTGTGCCCACATCTTTCAATTGAATTTCAAATTGAGGTTTGATTTCAGATTTCTATATATAACTATGTATGTTATTCTTATGTTATTGATTGACAGCCATACAGTGCTGACCTAAATTCCATAGATACTAGTAGAGTTGCCTAAACAAAATCGAACTGGGTGGATGTAGATATCCTTATTATCTGAAGAATAATGGACTGTGATCCCTGAAGAAACCAAACCACTGTCTCAGCCTCTGTGTTCTCCTTCTTGTTCTTCAGGAACAGGATGAGTCTTCAGTGGACAGCCGTAGCTACTTTCCTTTACATTGAGGTTTTCTTTGTTCTGCTGCTCTGTATTCCATTCATCTCACCCAAGAGGTTGGTGCCTGTTTTCTCCAGACTGTCAAATCCACGTCTGTCTCTCAACATGTCTGTACCATGTCCTTACAATCAAGTATATTTAATTTAAAAAAAAAAAAAAGTCCACATTTCTCTGTGGTGAGAATCCTGGAATAACGTATATTAAAGGTTCCAGAAGGATTTTTCTCAAACTAATCCTATTTAGATTTGTAATTAGATTGAATTTCCCCAGGAACAGTGGGTCTGTAGGATTGCTACAGTCCTACTGAATCATGTGCGTGTGACACGTGACCTAATCACTGATCAGCGATGACTGACCATCTTAATGTAAGTGTGAGCATATGAAACCATTCGACCTGATGAGTCACTGATAATCTGTGACCTGTTTTATTGAGATAGACCGACTCTGCTTACAACAAGCACCACAGTTACAGTTATGGTTGAGAGTTTTCTGGGCAGTTTCAGCTACGTACAATAACAACAACAATATACAGACAGATGACTGTATAGTTCTTTTTAACACTGCTGATCATTTTTATACTAATAATCACCTTCAGTAACTATCGCTGTTGTGTATTTAATTAAACTCTACGCTTTTTATTGGTTTGAGTTGTCACAGGTTTTTTAAAAAGCTGCAGTTGTAGACTGATCATATGTATGATCAACAACAGACGAACGCCCTCTGTAATACTTCCTTGTGCCACTAGATGGCACCAGTTTTTCATATTTCTACATTTACTGACCCACCTGTGGCTCCCATTCTAACACCATTTTCTATCTCTGTTCTTCTTTTCTCTACAGATGGAACAAAATTTTCAAGTCTGGCATTGTTCAGACCATCGCTCTGTATGGGAACACCACGTTCATGGTCATGATCGCCATCCTAATCTTCTTGCTCATTGGTACCAGTACAAAGATAATCAAATATCTGAAGTCTGTTTAAAATAGAAAGTAGAAATAAAAGGAAATCCTGCTTCTTTTTTTTTTTGTATTTTTTTTTTGCACAGATGCTTTTCGTGAGGTCAGGAAGTACAGTGTGTCCGAGACGGTGGATCTGGCTAATCATCCTACTGCCATTGAACACATTCACATGAAACTGTTCAGAGCTCAGAGAAACGAGTACATCGCTGGATTTGCTCTTCTGCTGTGCTTGTAAGACCCACACATACATACACAGAACAAGTAATGCTTCATATACATTCAACCTGACACATAGTCTCTGTCTACCTACTTACATACTTATAGGGGAACCTTACAATTTTACTGTTAAATAGCAGTTCTTAAACACATGCAAGGAAATGTATGTGAACCACTTTAGAATAACCAAATATGCTTCCATGTTTTTATTATTTATATATGTGTGTGTGTGTGTGTGTGTGTGTATATGTATATGTATATATGTATGTATATATGTATGTATATATGTATATATATGTATGTATATATGTATGTATATGTATGTATATATATATGTATGTATATATGTGTATATATGTATGTATATATGTATGTATATGTATGTATATATATATGTATGTATATATGTGTATATATGTATATATGTATGTATATATGTATGTATATGTATGTATATATATATGTATGTATATATGTGTATATATATGAATATATATATATATACTCTTCCTCCCACTGATTGGCTCAGGCATCTTAGCATCTCTCAGCATCTCCCCTTGTCTGTCCGCCATTCGTTCCGCCATTCGTTCACTTTGCTCTGTGTCACCATTATGCAACTCTACTGTGCATATGCAGTAATTGTGTGGGAAAGTGTAATACAGTCTACAGAGGGTTGATAACATTGTGGGGGAGGTTCGTCAAGGGTAAATATATACATAAATAATATAATAACTATCTTGACTCTACTTTGCGATTTTTCCTCCCGGACCAAAACCTTTCGCCACAAAGACAGCTTCTTCCCATCTGCTATTAGCCTTGTCAACAGACAGGAAGGCTCTCACTGACCCCAACCCCCACGTGCACACACACACACACACACACACCCCTGCACTTTAAAAGAATCTCCACCCATAGGCATAATAGACTTCATTTTATCAACATTTTTATACCTTCATGTACATTTCCTTCGCTGCACTGTATACCACAACAAATTCCTTGTAGGTGAAAACCTACCTGGCAATAAAAACGTTTCTGATTCTGATTCTGATTGTCAGTGCCATGCTCAGAGCACATCAGTGGTAGCTTGGCAGCAGGTCAACCTGAAACCCACCGGACACATGTCCGGATCCTGAATCAGCCAGCCACCACTGCCC